TGTTGGCGACTCAAGCGGGAGCTTGAAAGGTTTTCTTGATTTGGTCTAGGTTGTTTGTGCCTTTATACTTTCACTTTGTATGGTCAAGTTAGTTGGTCTTAGTAGGGGTCAAGAGACTGTTTCTCTCGGGTCGTGAGAGGAACTTGTTTCGTTGTGATGAAAAATACACCGATGAATTGATTGGGTAGTTTAGGATTTGTTACAGTGTTTTCACTCAGTGTTCCTAGGTGATACTAGATCACATTGGTTGTATGTTGTGTTTAAAATATTTTGTGGTTGTAATCATGTATTCACTATTGATTAATGAAAAGTTGTTGTTGAGCCAAAAAAAAAAAAAACACGTGTGGGCAATGTATCATTATGATTCCTTCTTTATCATTGCCTTGCCTCGCATAATTAATAGTGAAAATTGGCCAATAAAGCCATATTCAGAGTAAAATTGTCCTTTTATACCTTTGATTTCATATTTTTGTCTCATTATACCTTTGATTATTTTTAATACAGAGTAAAAATTTTAATATGTTCTCTGTTGTTTTGTTATTTGATCCACGACTTCTTATCGATGAGGCGCTTGTATATTGCGTGAGTAAGTTGTGTGACCAGCTGGTCTTTGACTCGGTTTTATCTGGCTCTCTGTCATGATCTGAATTCTGATTATACCATCATCTAGGCCTAGGTCTGGGCGTTCGATGGCCCAATAGGTTTCACTTCGGTTGATTCAGATTTTCGGATTTTTGGTACTGTGCTCATAAGTACCATTCGGCTTTTACTAATAATCGGATCGGGTTCGGTTCGGTTCCTTCCGGATTCGGTTCGGATCGGATTATAACCAATGTCTGGAATCGTCCAAAAATACTAAAAATTTGACAAAATAGTATTCAAAATATATAAATTATTCACAAGTATAATTAAAAATTAGTTAAACTATCCAAATTAGCTAAGATATATTCAAAATAACATATAACATAGACTATGAAAATATTTAGAATATTATAAACTATCTAAATTACCTTAACATATATAAAAATATTAACATATTTAACTAATTTCGGATACCTTCGGATCCTACTTCGGATATTGGTTCGGTTCGGATTATACCCAAAGTCCGAAGTACTAGGCACATAAGTCCCGTTCGGTTAACTTTGTATAATGGTTTGGATCCGGGTTTGGTTTTTTCGGTTCGGATTTAGGTCGGTACTTCAGATTGGGTAAAAACGCCCAGACCTACCATCATCTGGTTAGTGAAAATTCGACAGATTATAAAACATTAAAACTAGCACACATGAAAATACAATCAAGTTTACTAATTACAAAATTATTCATTGCATCATTTTAAACTATTTAATAATTTTAGTAAACTTTGGCTAGATTTTTTTACAACAGATTTTGTATAATAAATAGTAAAAAGTAAAAAATATTTAATATTTAATAGATTAATGTAAATAATCAAATATATTTTTTTCTTTTGACATAAAAAACATATATTTGATTATTTACATTAATCTATTGAATATCAAATATTTTTTACTTTACTTATTACTACATGCATTACTAATTATCAAATATATGTAACTAGATGTAATAAATATTTTATAATTACTTATTACTACATGCATTATTAAATAAAAGAATATAATAATAAAATATTATTTATGTTTTCACTTTAAAATTCTTACATATTATAATTGTTTTGAATTTTTTTGTGTACACTATATTTTTTATTAATAAATAAATCTTAGAATCACTCAATATTCTACTTTCAATTATATAAATTACAGATTTTACTTGATTAACATTTAGTTATGTGTTTCTTTTTATTTTTTCTTAAAATTTTTTTTTGTATAATAACAAAATATATATAGGAATTATCTTTTTATTTTAAAATATATCTTTTAGATTTGGATAATTTTATTATTATTATCTTTAATCATTTCACTAATCAAATTATTTAAATTCTTTTATATTTAGCTAATTTATAGATTTTATATTTTAGCTAGTTATTAGGTTTTATTCATTAAGGGTATAAAAATAAACGATTAACCGCTCCAACTTTTTTACGTATTATAATTTTTGAAACTTTTTGCTTACGCTATATTCATTATTAATAAATAAATCTTAGAAGCACTCAGTATTCTATTTGGGCAATTCTCTCCAATAGCCCTCTTTTAAGTTTTTATCACAAAAAAGACCTCAAAATTAAAATGACCAAAATAACACTTTTTATTTTGAAAATTTTAAGTTTTTTTAATTTTTTTAAATTCGAAATCGTATCCCCAAAACTCCACTCCTTAACTCTAAACAAAAAAAATCTAGTATTAGTTAACCCAAAGGTATAAATGTATATTTAACAAAACATTTAATTGTTATTTTGGTCATTTTAATTGTTAACGTCTATATTTGTGATAAAAATATTTTTAGGTCAATTCTAGTCATTTTCTCATTCTATTTTTCAGTTATATAAAATTACAAATTTGACTTGATTAATATTTAGTTATGTGTTTTATGTTTTTTATTTTTTTATTAAAAGATATTTTCGGATAATAACAAAAGATATATATGAATTTTATTTTTTTATTTTAAAATATATCTTTGGATAATTTTATTGTTATTATTTTCAATAAATCTCTAATTAAATAATTTTAAATGCAATTTTATATATTTTAGCTAATTTATAGATTTTCTGGTTTAGCTAATTATTATATTTTAGCTAATTATTATATTTTATTCATTAAGAGTATAAACGATATTAACCGCTCCAACTCGGATGCGAAAAATCACTTCGTAAATAATAGTATAAATATTAGATGTTTTCTCTGCATATATGGGCTTAATGATTTTACAAATATTTATAAATAGATTACTATCAATTTAAATGCTATGAGAATAAATTATTGTTCTATGTTTAAAATATTTAATAACAAATTAAACAATTATATATATATATCAAGTTTTTCATCAAAACAGAAATACTTTGTATTACATAAAATTATATATAAAATGTCTATATAGAAATTTATCTTTTCTCAGTTACAAAAAAAAAGAAAAAAAAAAGAAATTTATCTTTTCTGAAATTTGTTTTTAACTTTAAAATAAATATATTCAAATATAACATTATAAAAAAATGTGACCAGAATACTAAAATTGATGACATAACTTATGGCAAAACATGACATGCATAATTACATTTAATGTTGATTTATATTTTTAGTAAACTTTTTTAAATATGGTAATAACGTGTACTTTACATTTAATGTTGATATTTATTTATGGTAAATAATTTAAAATATGGTAATAACTCATACAACATCTTTAAAATAAATATATTCAAATATAACATTACAAAAAAATGTGACATGGTTACTAAAATTGATGACATATCTTATGGCAAAATATAACATAGATAATCACATTTAATGTTGATTTATATTTTTGGTAAACTTTTTAAATAAGGTAATAACGCATACTTTACATTTAATGTTGATATTTATTTATATTAAATAATTTAAATATGGTAATAAATCATCATCATCTTTAAAATAAATATATTCAAATATAACATTACAAATTTCAATTATTGTTCTATTTTATTTTTATATTATACAATTTGTACTACTAAAGTATTCAAAAATTGTTACATTTAAAAAAAATATATAAATTTCTAAACATAAAATCATTTTCTTTAATGTTGATTTATATATATATCTACAAATTATATTTAATGTTGATTTATATTTTTGGTAAACTTTTTAAATAAGGTAATAACGCATACTTTATATTTAATGTTGATATTTATTTATGGTAAATAATTTAAAATATGGTAATAACTCTTACATCTTTAAAATAAATATATTCAAATATAACATTACAAATTTCAAAATATTATTCTATTTCATTTTTATGTTATACAATTTTTATTACTAAAGTTTTCAAAAAATTGCTAACAATTTTTTAAAAATATAATTTCTAAAATGTAAAATCATTAGTTTCTTATATATATCCATAAATTTTGTAAATACTGTTTAGTTTAAATATTTGATAATTATACAATTTTATATCATTTTTAATAATTTTATACATATTAACTCAATATATTTAAGCAATATAAATGGATAGTAAAATCTATCTAAGATTATAATAAATTTATACATATATATTCTTATATATAATTTTAAATAAACAAAATTATTTTAACTTAATGTTTAAATAAATCAAATCTATGCTTAAATATTGGTAAGAACTAATAAAATCTATAATATTAATAAAATTTATTACTAAATATAATTTAAGTTTAAAAAAATTTCATGTGCAGGAAAACACCTAGTAATCATATGAAAAAAGCAGTGATATCTAAAACTAATAGTATTGACTAGCAACATTTAAACAGAGTCTCACTTTGGAAAGTCGATATAGTAGAAAGCTATAAACAACTTTCAACTGCATCTTCCCCGTAGTGGTTCATTAATTGAGCACATTTTGCAATGGACTCTAAACAACATTTTTGTTTCCCCTTCTAATTATAAAACTACTTGTTAATCAATTGTAAAAACCTAAAGCAGAAAAAATGTTTGCAACGTAGTCCCACTTGTTTCAAACTGTCCCCAACTTGAAGAGTGTTTGGCTGTGGACAATCCGTTGTCCTTTTCCCGGATAACATTGCCCTTAACCTTGCTAAACAAAGGCCCAGCTACTCTACGTTACAGGATCTGTAAATCTCAAAAAACTGAACTAAATATTTCTACTGTAAACGAATATCTGAATGCCTAAGGCTAGTTCACATTCAGGGATAACGTATTCCAAAAAAAAAAAAAAACAAAGCGGAGAAAGAGTCAAAGTGATAAGGAGCGAGCATTGAACAGCATAATATAACAACGTAAGAGCAAAGACTATCATTTGCCAAAGACAAGTTCTGAGTCTCTCCAAATCAGTCATTACATGGTAACAGAGTTTTATGACCTGAAGATCTTTTTTTGGAGGAGACGAGCAATGAGTAAAAGTCCACCTTACACGATACGCTCCAGCTCTCTGGCATAGCTTAGAGTCTGGTTGATGAGTTGAAGAGACGGAATCTCTTTGCAGGGTGCAGTTTCTTTGGCTTTCTGGAACACAACAAACCCTTCCTTCACTTCCCACTCGGGGTGCTCCTATAAGACACCAAAATAGAGTCAAGGGTTCATAAACACGACTCCAAATACTTTGCATAAAATGTTTGTTGTATTACCTCATTGACATAGGTTAAGAGTTCTTGATCGGAAGAGAAGAGCAACATCTGCCGGGCATCGCTGATAGAGACATAATCATAAGCTTTCTCGCTGCATCCAGCTATTTCATCTCTGATAACAATGAAAAAGGATGAGATAACGCACTAGATGAGACTAAACTAACTCAGAGAAGTACGGGCTCGTTGAGGCGTTACCTGATGGTCTTTGCCAAGAGGTCCATGAAATAGACGTAGGTAGCATCAGGTGCGGTCTGTCTAGCACTGAGGACACGGTTATAGGCACCTTCCATGAAGGACTGCTCAAGCTCAACGGCATGCTTGATGCAAGGATTATCCAGAGTAGCTGATGATAGCAACTCAAGTTCGGTGTGGAATTCAGCAATTCTGTTCTGAACAAGCAGCCTGAGAAGGTTCAGACCAAGGATAAGATTCTCCTGAGGAGATGGTGGGAGACGATTCCTGATGCAGTGAAAAAGAGAAAGAAAGTTAGGGGAAAAAAACATGGCAACCAAATGAAAAAAAGGAGAGAGTTTTAGAGAGTAGGGGATATAACCTGGCATCGACATAGTAGGGTTTGAGCTGGAAGAAATCTCTCTCGAAAGCATCTTGATCCTCAGTTTTAATGCTCAGAACAACAGCGTGCTCATAAATGTCCCCTAAAAGTGTTTCATAATCGTCAATATATTTGAGAAAGAACAACAATCCGCTAGTTTCTCAAAATCCATATCATGCATACTGCAGTTCAAGAAAGAGAAAAACCTAACACAACCCCTCAGGCTTTGTGACACTTGAGAGGTGAAAACACCCAAGATAAACTAAATAAGGCCATGTGGTCATGAGAAGAGACAAATTTGAAATACTAGTAGTCCGTGAAACTGATGGGGACAGCAAAACAATACAATTGATAGTTCATCATGTAAAGGGAGAAAATTTCCGAAACATACTAGCAAGAGTGAGCTCGTGAGCAGCATTTGGAGTATTCTCAAACAGCGGAGGAAGACTTGTGAATTTGGTTAGAAGAACCTGAAACAGAAGAGACCATCAGACAATTCTCAATCTAAAGTTTGTAGCACAGTACTAAGCTAGTCCTAACTAAAAGATCTTCAACACATTAATAATCTGAAACTCTCTGTTTTAAGAAGGTGAAGTTCTCACAGATCTGAACCCCCGCGACAAATGTTTAATTCCCTAATCGAACAAAGTAGCGATTCGAACCTTAAGCCGAGACAAGAAATCAGAGCAGGTATTGTAATCCTTTCTAACAAACGCCGCCTTGAACCTCTCTAACTGCTGCGATACTTCTGTCAGTTGCGGATCCATAGAGAGCCCTTTCTTCTTTTTTTCCGGCGACGATTCTTTCTTTCCTCCGAACTGACTTGTTTGCAAAGAAAGAGATACGATAGATAGAGAGAGAGAAACAGTTATAATATAGGCCTTTAACGGGCCGAGTTAATCTTTTAAGGCCCACCGTATATGTCTCACTAACATTATCATCTCTTATCCCCCATCTTCTTCTCTTTGCTTTCTCTAACAATGGTGGCGTCTTCGCTATGCCTTTCGAATACTCCTGTTTGCCCTCACTCTCTTTCTAATATCTCATCACATTCACTCCTCTCTTTCTCCCATTCCCTCAGGCCTTTCTTTTCCAAGTCCAAACCTTTTGCCTCTCAGAAGAAGAGAGAGAACTATGGACTTGTGGTGGTGAAATCACAGGCTCTTGATTTCTCAGGCACTTTCTTTGAAGGTGGATTCGGGTCAGACGATGACCCTACTTCTCCTTCCGTCTCAACTGCACTTGAGGACAAACCCGAACCTCAATGCCCACCTGGGCTTAGACAGTACGAAACTATGGCTGTCTTGAGACCCGACATGTCTGAAGATGGGAGGCTTGGTCTCACCCAGAAGTACGAAGAGGTAACCCAACAAAGACTGTTTGGTCTTTAGAATTATAAAGCTAATCATATACTCAATTTTCAAAATCCAGTGTGGAGATTGTCTTTGACAGTATAGGTTAGTGACAATTGCAAGTTGCAGTATGTATTTTCTGTTAAGAACAGAGATTCAATTTGACCTAGATTATTTGCTAAGCTTCTTTGTGATCGATTGATTTGCAATTAGTTCTAGGTTTAGGTAATCAAGAACACACGACAATTTGTTAACCCAGTCTTCGTTTCCTACTGACTGGGGAGAGATCAAAACTCTCAAGCTTTCACTATTGATCAATGAGATACAACAATGAATATGATACCGAGAATGATATCGTTTCTCTTGTGCAGCTATTACAAGCTCGTGCACAAGACGCTCACCGGAGAAGACTATCACAGCGACTACGACGAGGACGACTCGCTGTCTGTCTCTGAGCCTTCCGATACCGAAGACTAGTAGCCTGAAACGGAGAAAGAGGAATGATCGCAAGAGCTGTGAACACTTCAGGATCTCTCTATCTTGATCTCTCTTTCTCACCCAGCTGTAATTGTCTCTCCCTTTTCTCGATTGTATTTTCTGTAACAAACCTCTGTAACAACCTTCTCTCTCTTTATGAAGAAGACGAAGTCGTAACAGAATCTGTAACAACCTCAAAACGCAACGTTTTGATTAATAGAAGCCTTTGGGCTCTTAAGATTAGGCCCAAGGAATAAAGGCCCATATCAAACCCGTTTTGAGTATTGACTTGAAACGACAACACTCCACAAATCTCCACCTTTGTCGTTGTCGAGTCTGAAGAACAAAACCTAATCCCCAAACTTTTCCGACAGCAACAAATCAAACCATGTCAAACTCACCGCCGCACAGTCTTACCGGAACAAAAAGTCAATCTGATTCAAATGACGAACCCAAACCTCCTCCAATAACCTTCGAAAGAAGTCCAGATCCAACACCCATACAAAGCCCTGAACTTCTCATCTACTCTGAGATGATGAAGTCTCCAACTTTGACCCTTCCCGACGATTTCAAGATCCCAGAACAACCTCCAGTAACTCAAACACCAGTCGAGATGCAACCAAATCAGACCCTTCAGATTCCAGAAGATGAACAGCCACAACTCACTGCTCTCGAGATCTGTAAGTATCATCTTCCAACATCTGCTGATAATTCAAAACAGCTGACAACAAACCTGATAAGAACCACCTTCTTATGCAGATAACAGACGCTTGAATCTTTTCGGAGAAAACCAAGAAACCCCTGAGTAAGTCTCCAAACCTTCTTAAACTTCTGTTGTTAGCTTCTTGTTGTTTACCAAGATCAAACCACTAACAAGTTTGCTCTCGTTGTTTCATGTACTCCCTTCTGATGAGACGACCAAACAACAGAGCCATCTCGGAGTACCTTCTAGCACGATCAGGCGATGACCCCAAGNCTTTTCGGAGAAAACCAAGAAACCCCTGAGTAAGTCTCCAAACCTTCTTAAACTTCTGTTGTTAGCTTCTTGTTGTTTACCAAGATCAAACCACTAACAAGTTTGCTCTCGTTGTTTCATGTACTCCCTTCTGATGAGACGACCAAACAACAGAGCCATCTCGGAGTACCTTCTAGCACGATCAGGCGATGACCCCAAGCGTTACGAGACACTTCTCGAACGCATTACCAGGTAAACACTTAGTTAGCATATCTGCCGGATTTAGAGTAGTATGAATTTTGTGAATCTTAACTAGACCGAAATCCACAATGTCTCTGATGAAGTGAATCTTGTTAGCCACATGTTTAGTTCTGTCATGATGCACTGCATTCTTAGCTAGGCATATTGCACTTTGCGAATCACAATGCAACCTGAAAAATGAAGAATTAAACCCCAATTCACCAAGAAACTCCCTTAACCATAAACCCTCCTTTGTAGCTTCTGATAGAGCCATATACTCAGCCTCTGTAGTTGATAATGCAACAACATGCTGCAGTGTAGATCTCCAGCTAACTGTATTACCTCCAACCTGAAAAACATATCATGTCACTGATCTTCTCTTATCACGGTCAGTGGCATAATCCGAATCACTAAAACCCTCCACCTCAAAATGTTCAGATTTTGAAAAGTGTAGACAAACATCTGAAGCACCCTGAAGATATCTCATTATCCATTTAACAGCTTCCCAATGATCTCTTCCTGGTTTAGACATAAATCTGCTGACTAAACCCACAGCAAAACCCAAATCTGGCCTTGACCCAATCATTGCATACATCAGACTCCCTACTGCACTCGCATAGGGAGTAGAATCCATTAAACCTTCTTCTCGCTTCCACTCTTCTGGAGTTAAACTCTTGAGTTGAAACTGAGAGCCAATGGGCGTAACCACTGGCTTACTATCTTCCATTCCAAATGTCTTCAGAATTTGTCTGACGTACCTCTCTTGAGATAGCTTTAGTATTCCTTTCTCCCTGTCTCTGTGAATATCCATCCCAAGTATACGAGTAGCTGGCCCTAAATCTTTCATTTCAAATTCTCGATTTAAAACCTCTTTGAGCTTTGATACCTTCTTTTTATCCTTAGCCGCGATCAACATGTCATCCACATATAACAGCAGATATATGCTATCCTCAGCTCCCTTTCCTTTAAAATACACACAAGGATCTTTGATACATCTCGTGAATCCCTTATCCTTGATAAACGTATCAAATCTCAAATTCCACTGCCTAGGTGATTGTTTTAAACCATATAAAGATTTCTTCAATAAGCAAACTTTTCTCTCATCTCCCTTCTTGACAAATCCCTCTGGTTGATCCATGTAGATAGTCTCATCTAAGTTCCCATGTAGAAAAGCCGTCTTGACATCCATCTGCTCTAGCTCTGTATCGTAGTTAACAACAAACGATAAAAGTATTCTTATTGACACATGTTTCACCACTGGAGCAAATATCTCATTATAATCAACCCCTTCCACTTGAGTAAAACCCTTAGCAACCAACCGAGACTTGTATCTTGGATCTTCAACCCCAGGAATTCCTTCGTTATATTTATACCCATTTAGAGCCAACAACTCGTTGTTTCCGAGGACGATCAACAACAATCCAAGTTCCATTCTTGTCCAGAGATGCCTTCTCCTCTTTCATAGAGTTATACCACTTATCCCAATCTTTACTCACTCTAGCTTCTGAGTATGACTTAGGTTCTGTAATGTCAATATCTGCAGCACTACTCAAAGCATACGCTACAAAATCTCCACTTTCAAAGATTGCTGGAAGCTTAGTAGTCCTTCTAACTCTATCTCGAGCAAGTAGATAATCCTGTAAACTCTCTCTTGTAGAAGACTCTTCAACGTTTTCATTTTCCTGATCTGACTCGGAATCTGAGCTTTCACTTGAAACAGTAGATGATGATGAAGCTCCACCTTCAACTGAACTCGTAGGACCTTTTATCAAATCTGGACTGAAAGATACCTTCTTTTTACCTTTCACCTTTTCTTCCTTAGATTTCCAATAGAGCTTCTCTTCATCAAACACAACGTTTCTGCTGATTGTTGATTTTCCTGATTCTGGAAGCCATACCCGATAACCCTTAGTACCTTGAGGATATCCCATGAAGATTCCTTTGACTGCTCTAGGACTCATCTTGTCTTGTACCGTGTGAACATAGGCTACACAACCAAACCTCTTCAAATGACCATACTCCACCTTAACCCCAGACCACATCTCTTCTGGTATCTTAAACTCAATCGCAGCGCTTGGAGTCCTGTTAATCAGATACACAGCAGTAGAAGCAGCCTCAGCCCAAAACTTCTTTTCCAAACCAGATTCAGCCAACATACACCTGATTTTATCAGCAATAATCCTATTCATTCTTTCTGCAACCCCATTTTGCTGAGGAGTATACGCACAAGTCTTGTGACGTTTAATACCAGACTCCTTGCACATTTTATCCATCAAGATGTTGCAGAACTCCAGACCATTATCAGTACGCAAGCACTTAATCTTTTTGCCAGTTTGGTTTTCAACCAAAGCTTTCCATTCCACTATGTTACCATAAACTTCATCCTTGCTTCTTAGAAACCTTATCCAGATCTTCTTAGAATAATCGTCTATCATTGTTAAGAAGTACTTGCAACCTGATAAGCTTTCTTCGTTAGCCGGTGATCCCCATAGATCCGAATGAACATAGTCAAGAATAACTTCAGAATTATGTTTAGCTGTAGGAAAAGGTTGATGATGAGCTTTCCCTAGAACACACTCCTCACAGAAATCCAGAGTATGAACTTCCTTAGTATCAAGATAACCCTTTTTAATCAGCACGTTCATATTCTTCAAACTCATATGACCAAGTCTAGAATGCCAAAGATTGGTCATATTGATTTCTGCTCTAGCAACTTTAGCTTCCGCATTAACAACCACTCCTTGAAGATAATACAATCCATCCTTATAGCACCCAGATAAGATCTTCTTTCCTTGCTTAAAGAATGTAACCTTGTAATTACTACCCTCATAGTTGCACCCATGCTTCTCGAGTTGACCATAAGAAATTAGATTCCTTCCCATAGTAGGCATATACCTGACATCTGTTAGAATAACAGTAGACTGATCAGGATTTACAATCTTAAGTTTTCCAATCCCTTTAACCTCACTAGTAGTATTGTTTCCCATTAGAACCTTTCCTCCTTCCAATTCTTCGAGATCAAATAAGACGTGCTTATTAGGAGTAATATGGAAAGAACAACCCGAATCTAGAATCCACTCATCTTTAGTCTCATGAACGCTAGCTGTGAGAATCATAGGATGCTCCTTCTCATGAGCAACATTAGCTGTCTCATAAGTCTTGTCTTTCCTATTTGGACAATCTCGTTTGAAATGACCTTCCTTCCCACAAATCCAACACTCTTTAGACTTAGTAGGATACTTAGGTCTTGACTTTGACCTATGTTCTTTATAATCTTTGCTTTTAGATCGGTTCTTCCCATTTCCTCCACTTCGCTTATCACCTCTTCCTCTGGTTACCACCAGACCTTCAGCACTTGACCTCGTTTTACCAGTAAGACCTTTTTCCTTCAACTCAGCTTCTTTGGCATATGCAGAAGTAGTTACTTCTTTCACTGTCAAGGTCTCCTTTCCATTTCCATACTTCAAAGTATGCACAAGTGAATCATACTGAGGCGGAAGACTCGTAAGAATCTGAATAGCTTGATCCTCATCTGAAACTTGTATGTTCAAACTTGCAAGATCATCAACAAGCTTTAAGAAAATGTCTAGATTTTCCTCAATACTCTTACTCTCCACCATCTTATAGCTAGCAAAACTTTGCTTTAGATAAATCCGGTTTGGCAGAGTCTTAGTTTGATAGTCTCCCTCTAGAGCTTTCCAAACTCCTAAAGCTGTTGTTTCTTTCATGACTTTCCTCAAAACCATATTGGTTAAACTCGAACATATCAAGTTCCTTGCACGGATATCTTTTTCCTTAGCAAGCGGATCTTTCTTAGTTTCAACTTCAGTCTCTGAACCTGAGTCTTCTTCTCCCTTCACTCCTTTTATAACATCTTCACTAAGAATGTTTCCAAGACCTTGAAGCTCAAGTTGCATTAACATCTTAAACTTCCACATCCCAAAGTCACCAGAACCATCGAACTTCTCCATCTCGAACTTCGTACGCACCGACTCCATCGAGACCTATCAACAATCACAGAATACCACAGCAAGCAGGACAAACACCAACAGATCAAATCCAGAATCTCAGAGCCGATAACCTGGCTCTGATACCAATTGTTAAGAACAGAGATTCAATTTGACCTAGATTATTTGCTAAGCTTCTTTGTGATCGATTGATTTGCAATTAGTTCTAGGTTTAGGTAATCAAGAACACACGACAATTTGTTAACCCAGTCTTCGTTTCCTACTGACTGGGGAGAGATCAAAACTCTCAAGCTTTCACTATTGATCAATGAGATACAACAATGAATATGATACCGAGAATGATATCGTTTCTCTTGTGCAGCTATTACAAGCTCGTGCACAAGACGCTCACCGGAGAAGACTATCACAGCGACTACGACGAGGACGACTCGCTGTCTGTCTCTGAGCCTTCCGATACCGAAGACTAGTAGCCTGAAACGGAGAAAGAGGAATGATCGCAAGAGCTGTGAACACTTCAGGATCTCTCTATCTTGATCTCTCTTTCTCACCCAGCTGTAATTGTCTCTCCCTTTTCTCGATTGTATTTTCTGTAACAAACCTCTGTAACAACCTTCTCTCTCTTTATGAAGAAGACGAAGTCGTAACAGAATCTGTAACAACCTCAAAACGCAACGTTTTGATTAATAGAAGCCTTTGGGCTCTTAAGATTAGGCCCAAGGAATAAAGGCCCATATCAAACCCGTTTTGAGTATTGACTTGAAACGACAACACTCCACATTTTCATTAACAAACCAAATAATTGTGTGGAGAATGCACGGTTAGTAGGGTTGAGTATTACGGTTTCTTCTTCTGGAGTTTGTGCCAATTCAGAGTGAATTTTTTTTTTTTTAATATATTTTAAGGTTAGGAAGAGTCTATGCTTTTGTGCGCTGTGAATTCTTGAAGTCCTAATATATCTGCATTTTCTGCTCGAAACACACTTCTCCTTCGTGGGATATATGGATTCTTTATGCTATATTTCACATCACATGTTTAATCAATTCATTGTTCTGAATTGTATGTGTTGACTTTGATTACTGCATGTATTACTGTGAAGACTTGGAAAGATTTGTTTAATAAATTGATCGTGTTTTATTTTGGTATGGCAGTTGCTTGTGGCTGGAGGAGGAATGTATGTGGAAGTGTTCAACAGAGGAGTGATTCCATTGGCTTACAGCATCCGAAAGAAGAACAAAGCCGGAGAGACCAACACTTACTTGGATGGAATCTACCTTCTCTTTACTTACTTCACCAAACCCGAATCCATCACTCCCCTTGAGTCCGTTCTCACTGCCGATGACGACGTTATTCGATCATCTTCCTTCAAGATTAAGAAGAGGAAGTACAACTAAAAGAGACCATCAGAATTGTTACCAAAGGTTTTCTTTCTTTTTTCCTTTTGTGAAATGCTCTGTTTTCATGTGTTACGGTGTGTTAGAAACTCTAATGCAAATTTTGAGAAGCATCATGATAAACAAAACAAAAAAACAAATATCGATCACCAATTCACCATATATATGATGATCTAATCCACACTCATGTCATGTCATCATATCTAAAGCCCAAATGTAAGAGAGAGAGACGTAGGGAGAAAACAGTAACTAAACAAAACAAAAAGGACAACTTATCAATCTAGTAAAATAGAAATCTTACTCTATTAAAAGGCACTAATAGAGGCATATGAAGCTGTCCACGTCATCAAAAATATTCAGGCCAATCAAAACATTTTGTTTCGCCACATGGCACACGAATTGGATATAATTGGGCTTCTTTTTTTGGATTCATTTTGTTTGATGTGTTTGACCCATTAAGACTGAGACATGAACCGTAAATCCTTTCTTCATCGTTTTTTTAAAAAGAGTTGGCGAAGGAGGAGAGGAGGATCAAAGGAATGAAAGACCAGCCGTCTCCGGCTATCTCTTCATCTCCCACTCACTATCTCTCTATATCCCCCTTCTCTTTGTTAAAATTCAGCTCTTTGTCATGCTCTATCTATGGATCTCCTCTCTTCACTCTTTACATAAAAATTTCACGGGGTTCACGAAATCTGAGATTATCTTCCCTAAAATCTTCTATCCATCTGCCCTTGGTGCAACTTCCACCCAACCTGATGCTCACCACGCCACTATTGATGATCTCCTCCTTGGCTGGGCCTCTTAATTAGGATCTCTTAGATGATCTGATCATTGTTGAGGCAAATCTTAGTGATAATTAGAATGGCTATTAGTTACAGAAAGTGATACAAACATCATCTTTCTGTAAGATAATATGAAATTATGTGACTATTTTCGGTTGAAATCTGAGTAAGGATGGTATGTTTTTGAGTAAAACTACATTTAAATGGTAATATCTGATATGCTTCTCTGTTTATATACTATGATTCTTCTCCATGGCTATTATAGATGTTTGATTTGGTCTTGGATTGTTTTGTAGGCGAATTGGAGATCTAACTTACTTGTCATGGAACAGAATACGCGGAGGAGGTCGGTGGACAAAGGCTCTGTATTTCATCTGCGTATGTAAATCTCTTTATCTTTTGATTGTAACTTAAGCCTAAAACTGTAGGTGATTATCTATATTTGTAGATGTGAAAGATTGCAACCATTACATACCAATAATATGTTTGATGCCTTCTATCATTTTCATTATCTTTCTCTATTTCTCTTCCATCCATAATACATAAAAAATACTCCGTATTATCTGGCCTCTTTCTCTCTATTTTTTTGGACAACATCTCTATGTCTTTTTACTATTGTTGTCTCTATCAACAGAGGGTGATGCAGTCTCTTGGTGTTTTGTTGAATGTTCAGATTAGGACTCAGGAGGCTGGTGATGATGCTGAGGCTATGGAGGAGGATGAGATGGTTGTGAATGAGCCTGAGGTTGAGAAGAAACGAGAACAGAAGCCTGGACCAGCGCCAGAGGTTACAGAAGGGAGAGAGAAGAAAGAGAGGAAGGAGAAATAGATGGGGAATGCTGCCTACAAGTACAAGGATTTCGAAACTGATATCAAGCATTACTCCACAGCTATGGAGATTGATGATAAAGACATCTCTTACATCACTAATCGTGCTGCTGTTCATCTCGAGATTGAAAGGTATAGTTTTTATTTACATTAGTATACAATAATTTACTTATTACTAGGTAGAGTCTAAATGTGAATGTGTTTGGTACAGTATGATGAGTGCGATGTGAGATGCCTAATGAAAGCTGCTCCACCTAAAGAAGAGCCTCAAGCTTACATTGATTGCAGGGGGAATCTGCAAATTTGGCGTGTGAATGGTCAGGAAAAGATTCTTCTTCAAGCTGCTGATCATTCGAAGTTCTACAGAGGAGATTGCTATGTTTTCCAGTATTCTTATCCCGAAGAAGAGAAAGAAGAAATTCTTACAGGAACTTGGTTCGGCAAGCAAAGTGTGGAGGTGAGCTCTCCAGTTAACAAAAGCAAGTTTCGGTCACATATATTCTGTGTAATTAGGTTTAAAATTGCATGTTTGTCATCATCTGAAGGAAGAAAGAGCTTCTGCAGTCTCTATGGCGAGTAAAATGGCTGAGTCAATGAAATTTGTGCCAGCCCAAGTAATCTTCATCTGCAGTAATTCCAAAAGTCTATGCTGCTGGCTTCATCTTTTTTTTTTTCCTGAATGTTTTCATTTTCATGTTTAGGCTCGCATCTATGAAGGAAAAGAACCTCTTCAGTTCTTTGTGATTATGCAAAGCTTTATAGTTTTCAAGGTTTGGCGAAAATATAGTTTCATTCTGAAGTTCTGTTTATAAACATATACAATATCTGCTGATTTTGTTTGGGATATTTACACGGTGGTATTAGCAATTGATATAAGAAATACATAGCAGAGAAAGAAGTTGACGATGATACATACAGTGAGAATAGTCTTGCTCTATTTCGTGTTCAAGGGTCTGGTCCAAAGAATATGCAAGCTGTGCAAGTCGACCCTGTATATCTCATTTTTCGGCCTTTAAAACCTTTAGGAACCATTCAATAGTGATAACCATTTGATTAACATCAGCATGTTGCTTCATCATTGAACTCTTCAAACTGTTATTACAAAATGGTTCTTCTGTCTTTACAATACCTAAGATTTTATAATTATACAAACTTCTTTTTAAACTTTAACTTTATAAATACCTTATATGTGAACTCTAATTTGTAATTTTCAAACTTAAGCCCTAACTAATCACATACTTATTAAAAATATAAATGTAATTATTAAAATAAAACATATGATATTTTAAATCCTAAACCTAAAATCCAGTATCTTAAAATGCAAAGGAAAATCATGTTTAAAAAATTATACATGTCAAAGTTAAAATTAACCTACTAAAAATAAAAATAAATAAACTAAAAATATTTAGCTTAAGTAATCATCAACTCAAACAGATAATACAAAAATTATCTTGGGCACAAATAAAAAACGATATCTCCTTTACTAAATCTTGCAAATCTCCTCAGACTGAAACATATATATACATATATATACAAATATATATATATATAATACTTTAATAAACATAATAGTTCAACTATGAACTAAACACATATCCACTAAATAGTTACTATTCCTTACATGTAGAATCAGAACATAGTAATACAATACTTTTGTATCTACACCATTATCAAATACATCAAACACATTGCATAAAAAACACTATTTAGTAAAGTATCACTATGATTGCCATCGTAAGTACTTCCATTCATGTGTGTTTTGAGTCTAAATTTGTGATTCTTAATCAAAAGCTTGGTTGTCCTTTCTTATGCAGAGTTAATGGGAAGGAGAAAAAAGTTAAGCAAAGCAAACGATACCACTGATCCAAATAGGTCGTGGAACAACTTTTTTGGTGATGGGATTGTTTAAAGCTCAAGTATGTAAGTAGAGTACGGAACCAGCTGCCATTCAGCCTTATCCCTTGAGAGAAAAGTATGTCATTCATTCTTTCTGTTTGTTTGGAGTTTGTTATTCATGTTCTAGAAACCAAATTTGTTTCGAAGACTGAATATTCTATGTCTAATCAAGTCTTAGTGATAGGTTTGTTTAAAACTTTGTTTTTAAGTTTGGTTTGGTTTTGCTTTCATAATGTCCAGATCAACGATTTCAGCTTTTATGATACTTACTTTTCTTTTTTTTAAACATTTTTGCTTAACTTTTTCTCCCTCCCATTAATTCTGTATAAGAAAGAACAACAAAGCTTTTGAATAGGAATCACAAATTTAGACTCAGAACACACATGAATGGAAGTACTTACCATATTGAATATTCCTTACTATTCTAATGTTTCAATATAATTTGAATATTCTCTTCTTTCATAATATAATGGTTTAAAAGTGTTTTTTGTTTCAATATATAATTTTTTTAATATTTCAATGTAACTTTATACTTATTCGTGTGGCCAAATAAATTATGTAAATTACTGTGTAATTGATTACACTTACATATTAAATGATAGTTTTTTAAAGTAATAACTTTTAAATATTACAGATTTTAATTAAAACTGATTACAACAGATAGAGTAATCGATAAACTAATTCTATATAGATGTGAGGACAAAAATTGTAAAGTTGTTTCACCTTGAATTTCTCTCATTCTGCGTATTCCTAATTGGAAGGAAATAATAAGCATCTAATATTATGATACTCTCAGTATATTAGAAATGGTCAAACCGTAAACAAATTAAGGATGATGTAAGGAATACATAAATATGTATTTCTAATTATCACAAATATAGAATCAATTAAACAACTTAATTATGTCCAATGTAAGAAAACAAAGAAGAGTTTACATACCTTCTAATATTATAATATCTCACTATATTAGTGGCTAAATCAGTTTTTCTAGCACAAACACTCACTCCATTCTTGGAGTGTAAGCTTTTCTATCTGTTGATATTAGAAGTTTGATCCCAAAAAAAAAAGAAATGGTCGAACTGTACATTGGAATTGGAGAAAGAAAACAAACATAAATCAACCAAAGACTTTTAAGGTATATGAACCAGAAGCATAACGACTGGGTGGAGTCATAAAACATTTTTGTCTTGAAGAATCCAAAAAAAAAAATGGTGTAATCAGTGTTGAGGAAAGAAGAAAAAAACGTTAGGCAAAAACATAATGAAAGTTTTGAGAAAATGATATCTCTACTCAAAAATAAGTTTTCAGAAAATGAATTATTATCGGAAGTTAATCCAAGAAAGTGATTGAATGACGTCCAAATAATATATAATTATTAAAGAGTGAATACATGATATATACAACAGCAACATACAACTTATTTGCAAATAAAAATTTCATATATAGACTCAAGAATAAAAATATATATCATATAAATATATTGTATATTTGTGATAAATATTTTCAGTAACACTAATATTTTCATGATACTTTTTATTTATAGCAAAATAGTAAACAATATAAATATCATATACATTACTTAATAATACCAGATCCTTTAAATAATAACAAAGAAAAGGTAGAATCAAGGTACAAAAATTGGAAATAGCAATTTTCTGCAATTAAAAAATAAGGAAATAAAATTGTAAAAATACAAAAAAAACACACACACATAAAGAAAAAATAGTAAAATAAAATCATAATATAATTTCAATAACTGATAGTGCTCAGTTACACTAAAAAGTTTAAATTTATAGCATACACAGTTTTTTACAAATTTAAACTTATTATCTAAATAAAATGATTCTAAAAAAAGTGTCAGTGTGAAGAGTGAAAAATCTGAATAGAAAATATATGATAAAATATAAAACACTATCACTGATCACTAAAAAATTATGTTAATAGTTATAAAAATGAAATGACAACACATTTATTGAAACCATAGAACGACACGCAAAAATGTGGTATTAAATATACAAAATACAATTTAATTATGCTCCACCCAAACACACATAAAAATAAACATCATCTTTGCATATAGTTAAATAAATTTTTTAAATATTTTATATTCTTGATAATTTTAAATTACTTTACAAGAAACTAAATCATTAACAAATTAATATACAAATAAAACTAAAGCAATATTTTGTAATCTCAAAATAATAAATGAATAAAAATATCTTATGTTAATAAAATAGATTTTAGATTTTATAGATTTCTAATTCATGTAATATTACAAAATTCAAAATTTGTTTAATATTTTACCATTAGATATATTAAAATAATATTCTAGATTGAAATTCAATTGTCAGTTTCAACTATTACACGTAAAAAATATTATCAAGTACGTTTTTTTTGAAAAAGGGATTTTATATTTTAAGTAAATTATTGGAGTACTTTTTCTTTTCGTGATTTATGCGAGATGAGATTATGATCTTTTAAACTAAGATAATTTATGTTCTATATTTTTTTTACATAACTCTAAATCGAATTTGATTTCTTCATATTTTATTAGTTAATTGTGTTATATATAATAGAAACATATTTAACAATAGTATAAATTTCATAGTATATTGAAGATAATTATATAACTTAATTATCCATTACCACTAAAGAATTATATTCAAATACTTACTTCAATCTAAAAATATATATAACAAATTAAAATTATTTAAATATAATTTAATATACAAAATTCACATACAAATAAAAAAATATAAATGTACCAAATTTAAATATATTATCCGCGCATAGCGCGGAGAAATGATCTAGTATCTTTAAAAATTGTTTGGAAATAGTGATAACAGTAAAATAAAGAATATAATATTGTTTAAGAATATAGATACCAATATATTAAAAAAATGTTATAAATTTATGTTATAAAAAAAATAGAAATCCATTATATTATAAGAAAACTACATATCTAGACAAGCTTTAAAATATACACTACAATCTAATTATTTAAAAACATCTTCGTCTAAAATACGCATAAAACAACATTTAAATTTTATATACATATTTCAAATCAAAATATTAATTTAAAATTGATTCAAAGAAATATATATATATATATATATATATATATATATATATATATATATATATATATATATATATTCAAATTTGATTTTTATTATAACATTTTCCAATAATCATTATAAAAAATGTTTTCAATATATATAAGAAAAATACAATACAAATCCCAATTTCAATCACCAATTTAAATTATAGTTTTTATATTTCATATTACGTTTTAAAAATATAATATACATATATATATATAATTATTTATATGATTGTATGTATAAAATATTATTAACTATATGATTACTTATATGATGGGTAAGTATAAAATATGATTAATTATATAATGACACATATATGATATATAATAGTGAAAAAATAATATATGAAGTATTATATTATACTTATAAAAAATAACATCTAATCAAAGAAACAATAATATAACAATGTCTACTTACAACAAATATATATATATATATATATATATATATATATATATATATATATATATATATATAAAAGATAAAGTAAACACAGGTGTACTAATCAAAATCTAGGCATTATTACATTTTTCTCATCCTTACATCTCCTTCGCATTCCTGACAAGGCAAGCACCTTGCTCCTCCACAACCTTCACACATGTACCTCCCTTCCTCCCCTACTCTCTCCACATGTGCCCACCTCAGCACTCTCCCTAACTTTCCGTTGCTTCTCTTGGAGAAGCTCCTTGAGCATGCTCAATACTCAAGTGTCCAAAATCTATGTCCATCTCGTTCACCACCAGTTCTTGATGCTTCAAGATTGCTATCACATGCATGCAATACTCGTACGTCCGACGCACACGCACTCCTTGCAATGACGTCTTGTACACCACCAATATGCTTTGCCTCCTCCAAAACTCGGCAAGTATGTCCCAATTTATCACCGGTTTTTTGTTCCCTTCTTTCTCCCTCCCTGTCTCTCACACGTTTATGTTCTCCTTCACCGAACGAGACCCCAACCGGGACCGAGCTGACTATGTCCGAGGAAACTCAGGTCTTAACTCGGACATCGATTATGTTTTCTTTAGCTTGACCGTCGTCGGGTTTTGCGCAAAGTGTATTATGTGGTTTAAGTGTAAAGCAATATATCTTCCAATTCTCTCTTGCATATGTCAAAATTTGTCCCTCTTACAATCAGCGGATGTGTATCAATTTATGTTGTTGCATGAAAATTAAATAGCATCATATCATCACACATTTGCTATCCTATTGCCTAATGCATTTGCTTAGGACGATTGAATGGAACCCACCGTCTCACCTATTGCCTAATGCATTTGCTATCCTATAGCCTAATGCATTTGCTTAGGGCGATTGAATGGAAGTATGGAATCAACTGTCTCACCTTGCTAAGAACTTCTTTTTAAGGTTTCTTAACCAATGAGGTTTCTAAATCTTTACCTTCCTACAAACCAAAGAAAGTCTTTTTAGTACGGCTCAAAGTTGCTCTTCGTTGCTACAGTGTTGAGTTTGTTCTCTATCTAGCTCATTAGTGAGCTTCACGAATCGTCTCCTTTCTTGTTGTTGCTACAGTGTCGATGTTGTTGCTTTTTCAAATTCTTTCGTAGATTTTTTTTTGGGTAAATAAATTATATTAAATTTGTTCAAGAACTCTTTTCATTTTTTAAAAAGTGTGTGAATTTCATTACTTAAATAATGATACTAAGAGATACAAATAGCTTTGAAAGATGCTATAAGAAAAGAGATGGTACTATAGAGGCACGTCATCTAGAGGATGCAAACAGAATTGATATATAGCAAAAGAAACAAGAAGTTAGATCATCAAAAAAAATATCGAGAAAGTGTTTTCTTCATCTCTTTTCTGGTTTGTTATCTCTGACCATGGCTTCCTCATCCTGCCTTTTAGGTTGTTTCTGCACGTAAACTCTTGGCAAGAGAGAGATCGATTCTTTGTGTAACACATTGGATCGATTCTTTGTGTAACAAAAAGATATTAAAATTAGTAAATAAATGAGTATGCATTTACGATTCATCATCTTCTTCATTCATCAGTTTTAGTGTTACAAAAGATAAAAAAAAACTTATGTATCTAAGAAAGCTAATTAAAGCAAAGGTATGTGAAAGCCCCATAATTTTTATAAAAAACATCCACTGAATGGAAGTTTAATCTAGCCTATATGGATTGAGTAAAGCTTAACTAAGCTAATTCCTAAGAACCAACAATAACAAACAAGTGAAAACAAACTCCTATAAGGATTTGATCAAACCATTTTTAAAACAGTGAAAAGAAATATACTCTATTACCAACAACAATAAGAAAGGAATATCGTTTTATTAAACATGGATACAATACATATGTCAACTTTTTAAAACAAACTAGAGCTTGCATACTTGTACGGATGATTTTTTATTTTTTATAAAGAAATATTACTTTTGTTTAAGTGATAATATATGTTTTAAGAACTTACTTGTATTAACATATTAAATAAATTATTTAATACAAAATTTAAAAACACAATAATTTTATAGTTTATACCAGTAATTTTTTTTTCTTGTAAACCGTTAATTATATCATCTACATTTTTAGAATATGACCTGCAGATCTGCACAAATGTATTTTTATTTTCTTGTGGATCAAAATTTAATGATACTGTGTAGTTAATTGTTTTATATACTATTTAAAATATGGTTCTATATATTTTATACTCTTCAATATTTATCATATTGAATTTACAATAGTTTATTATTTATATAAAATATATGTAAAATAGTATTTTATAGATTAATTTATTTGTTATTTATATATCATACAAATGATTTTTTCTGTAATTTTAATTTTAGTTATCATTATTAAATACTAAAAATATAAAAATATAGATTTAATATAATATCTTTTTCTCAATTTAGTAAATAGATACCTAAATCGATTTACATGGTGGATTTATCATTGTTTTTGTCATGTGTATTAATTAGTTACTAGATTTTGATCCGCGCTTTCAAAACGTTTGTTATAATCTAATACAAAAATACCAAAGATGATAATCGTTTTTTATTATAAAAACATTTTTATTACTATTATGCAATTCGGATATAAATTGTCAATTTCAAAATCAAAATGAGCTTCTCCTACTATATAGTTAACTGAGTATTTTTTTTTAAAATAGATTATTGTGGTGAATAGTGATCTGCGTTTTGACAGTGAATTTATTTTGTATAATCTATTTGTCCTGTGTTTTTAATTTCAAATTAATTTATGATTGACAATTTATAATAAAACTTTATTTATTTAATAATTTTAATATCTTTTTTAAAAAATGCATACTCATAATATGTGATCTTTAATAAAATTTTAATACGTGATATATTTATTTTTCCTTCCAATTTAAAATTATATGATAAATCATTTATTAGAAGCTTTATTTTCTGTTTTATTGGAATTATAAAAATACTTTCGATTTTTATTTAAGAATTTAGAATTAAAAGTGACACTTATTTTCGAATGTGCAAATAGAATTTAATAATATTATATATAGTATAATATATCCTTTCAAAGCTATTTCCATATTATAAAAATTAATTTGTGTTGTGTTGTTCTTTTGTTTGAATTTAATTAACTGAGTTTGCACAATTAAATATTATAATTAAGTTTTTTTTAATAATCATATATAAAATCCAACTACCTATATTAATTATGATAATAATATTTATTTAAACAAAAAAAAATTAAAAAGCAAACCGAAGTACAAAAAACATCCTTCATACTATCACGAGTATAAATTGAAAATAGACTATTTAATTCAAATCATAAGTAAAACTCTATATTAGGTAATTTAAACTTATAAGATAATAATATATTATTATTTAATGAATATATTGTTCAAATCTTTTAAAGATCTCTTTATAAGATAAATTTAAATGTTTAATATTTAATATACTTAGGAAAATTAAGAGATAATTCAAAATTTTACTTCAGTTTAAATAGTTTAGATTAGCAATATAATATTAATATATCTAAATTGACTTTTCATGGCTTTAAATTGTTTACCTAATCAATATAACTTTATATTTTTTGTTTATTAATTAGTTATTTTAAGTTTATGTTTTAGCAATAATTAGTTTGAAAATCAATTTAGATATATTTTATAGTTGTTTAATTTGATAATAAATGCTAAAAGTTAGGATTATGTAGTTTTTAGTACTATTAAAATGTAATTAAATAGTTATTTTAATTTAATTTGATATTAATTTAGGAAATGATTGAGTAGATTTGGAAAAGACATTGTTGCTTAAAAGTAGGGTTATTAAATATATCAGTGGTATTGAATTGTAAATATTATGCAAGTTTAAGGGATTTTTTTATGAATATTTTCGTTTCAATAAATTTGATGAGCATAAACGAAGGTCGGCTTTTATAAAATAAAAGTAACTAGATGTTTTGCCCGCATTTGCGGGCTTAATAATTTTACTAATATCTATAAATAAATATATAATCAGTTTATATAAATTATAATAAATTATAGTTCATAGACTCAAAATATTTAATAATAAACTAAACAAATTCTTTCTATATATAAAATTTTTCATCATCATATAAATAATTTTCATTACACAACTTATATTTGAAAATACTCATGAACTTAAAACATTTAGTAATAAATTAATATCATTTTTAGACATAACAAAAAAGTATAAAAAATTATCTTTAATNAATTTTTCATCATCATATAAATAATTTTCATTACACAACTTATATTTGAAAATACTCATGAACTTAAAACATTTAGTAATAAATTAATATCATTTTTAGACATAACAAAAAAGTATAAAAAATTATCTTTAATAATGTTTTGGATAACACAATATAAATTATCTATACATAATTTTTTTGCGAATTGATTTTTCATAATTAACTATATATTAACAAATATAATTATTTTTCAACATTAATAAAGACTTTATAACACAATATAAAAAAGTTAGATAAAGATAATTATCAAATTCATGAGATTCATTTTTAATTTAGAATTAATTATATGTTAGCAAATATAGTTATTTTCAAGGTTGATAAAGACTTTATCACATAATAAAAAAATTAAAATTAGGATAATTATCAAATAAATGAAATTCGTTTTTAATTTATAATTAATTATATATTAACTAATATAATTATTTTTCAAGGTTAATAAAGACTTTATAACCCAATATAAAATCGTTTTAGATAAAGATAAATCTAAAATCATTGAAATTCGTTTTATATTTATGTTTAATTATATTAAAAATTTTAATTATTCATTAAGGATATAAACGATATTAACCGCTCTAATTTTCAACGTGAAAGTTACAAATTAATCAGAAAATTCACTAACATTTTATAATTGAAAATATATTTTTAAGATAACAATCTAATACAAAAGAATTAACATATTTTCTAAAAATATAATATTAGTAACATAAATTCTTTTTTATTTTATAATAAATTATTAAAACATGAAAATAAGAAAAATAACCTAAAATCATGGAGAAGTTGACAACTAAGCAAATTTACTTCTAAAATAATAATTGAAAAATATATATTTAAGATAAAAATCTAATACATAAGAATTAACATATTTTCTAAAAATATAATATTATTAACATAAATTCGTTTTTTATTATACATAAATTCTTTTTTTTATTTTATTATAAATTATTAAAACATGAAAATAAGAAAAATAACCTAAAATCATGTAGAAGTTGACAACTAAGCAAATTTACTTCTAAAATAATAATCTAATACATAAGAATTAACATATTTTCTAAAAATATAATATTACCTAAAATCATGTAGAAGTTGACAACTAAGCAAATTTACTTCTAAAATAATAATCTAATACATAAGAATTAACATATTTTCTAAAAATATAATATTATTAACAGAAATTCGTTTTTATTATATAATAAATTATTAAAACATGAAAATAAGCAAAATAACCTAAAATCATGGAGAAGTTGACAACTAAGCAAATTTACTTCTCGAATAGTATAGATCAACATCATGTGCGATTGTCTTAGTTGTTTCCGTCTAATAATTTGCGTAATTATCATTCCTTAATCTTCGTGTGAAAGTATATATAATAGGTGTCACTTTATTGTACTTCAAAGTATATACTATTAATAATTTTAATATATGTTTGATCGTTGATTAAAAAATATATGTTTGATAACACAAAAAAAAAACAATTTAAATATGAGTCAAATCAAAAACCGTACTTCACACCTTTTTAATTTTAAATGATTCTTAAACTTAATGAAGTATTAAATTAACAGCAATCAATCTTACCTAGAGAACGAACCTTATTTTTCTCCACCAATCACAAAAGCACTCTATCGTCATTATACCCCAAAAAAACAGAAAGTCTTCTCAAACACCGAAAATGGAAGAACACCAAATATAATCCAACCAATAGGAAAGTGAAGATACATCCAGGTACCATGATTTCTATTGACAAACATCGAATCTATCTTCTGATTTTTTGAGGTCTTTTTGTTACATAAACATAGATCTGTACGATGTGGGTTTTAAATTTTCGTTTGATTGTCTGACAAAAAGATTTGATTTTGTAGACCTGTTTTTCCTTCTTTGTACTTTTTTGTTTTGTTTGGATCCTAGGGGTTCCTACGTGGTCATATCAAAATATATGACCATTTGTGAAAACCTCAAGAGTTTAGTAGGTTTGACTATTTTTAGTTTCAAGTATGTTTTTTTTTTTGACAAAATAGTTTCAAGTATGTTTTCATATTTCTTGATCTGTTGTCATGAATTTAACTTCTGATAATAAAAATTGTCAGATCATAAGCTCAAAGCCAGATTCATCCGTATATGCTTTAAATATTTGTTAATCCAAATTTCATTTATGTTGTTGTTGTTGTTGTTTATCATGATGTATAATCCGAAAAATCACATAGATCGCTGAAAGAAATTTACATCAGGAACCAGAAATTTTTTGTTTCTTATCTTAGCAGAACCATTTTAATTTATCTTACCATTTATTAACTTGTTAATACATCCGAACTAATTAATAGAATTTAATCAAAAATTGAAGGTCGAATATTTGAAAATGTTGGCATTCGTGAAATGCTTTTCGTTGAAGCGAACAAAGCATCCTCCTGGATATGAGGACCCTCAGGTTCTTGCATCTGAAACTCCATGTAAGTCAAACAAACAAAAAAAACTCACAACTCCTACATTGAAGAAATAAATTAATACAATAACTAAGAAGAAGAAGTTTCAATAAAAAAAAAAAAAATTCAATAGACAACACACATGTGTAGTTTTAAAGCGTATGAGCCGTAATGTTGAAACATATGCATTTAAGAAGCAATATATAGATGTCATATGTAATCGATAAACATATGCAGTTACGGTGAATGAAATAGAGGCTTTACACAATTTATTCAAGAAGCTAAGTACATCCATCATCGACGATGGGCTTATCCATAAGGTAACGTTTTCTATTTATCGGACTTTTCATTAAGAAGGTATGATTAAGCATTTAATCAAAAAATCGCATCAGTTAATTTTTTTTTCAGTTAATCATTTAATTTTTCAACATGATATGCATATATACATGATATGACGTTATTTATAAGCAGGAAGAGTTTCTTCTGGCATTGTTCAGAAACAGCAGTATGCAAAATCTATTTGCGGACAGGGTTCGTACTTCCATTCCAATGTTCCATACTCATAAATTATATATATATATATATATGGTTTAAGCATACCCAAATGGGTGTGTTGGTATTAACTATAAATCATTTGTGCAGGTGTTTTACATGTTTGATAGGAAACGAAACGGTGTCATTGAGTTTGGTGAATTCGTTCGTTCACTAAGCATCTTCCATCCACACACTCCGGAACATGAAAAGTCATCATGTACGTATATCTTAATTTATACATTGTGTTCGTAATTGAGGGATTAAGTTAACCACTATATAATGTTGTAAAATGGCAGTCATGTTCAAGCTGTATGACCTTCATGGAACCGGCTTTATCGAGCGCCATGAGGTACTGATAGAATAATTTCTCTACTCGTGCTATGGTATATAAATAAATAAAATTTTCTATACAGAATGATGAAATCCTTTCACGTAAAAAAAAATCTGAATAAGTGCGTCTTGGTAGATGCAAACACAAACATGTTTTAATTTAACGTTGGTGCATGGAAATATAGTTGAAGAAAATGGTGGGCGCACTACTTGGTGAAACAGACTTAGAACTATCTGAAGAATCCATTGACGCCATCGTCGAACAGGTACTATTTACATATATATGCCTATATATTGTCCAATTATATATTTATTATTGTGTTTCGTGTTTAAAAATCTTTTTTTTAAAATATATTTTCTATTTCATATCTGATGTTAAAATGAATTATGGGGTTGGTTGGATTAATAAACAGACGATGGTTGAGGTTGATACGAACAAAGATGGAAAAATTGATGAAGAAGAGTGGAAAGAGCTCGTCGCTAAAAATCCTTCAATCCTGAAGAACATGACTTTGCCCTATCTCAAGTATAACATAATATACCATAGTTTCTTGAAAACAATAATAATAACAAATGCGTATTTTTAATATTGCTGACATGCTCTTATTTAATTAGTTACGTCCACATTTCATGATTTGCAGGGAAGTAACTTTAGCATTTCCAAGTTTCGTTCTTGACTCCGAAGTAGACGACTAAACAACAAAGAAACCTTATGACAGTTTCTCCCGACTTTTTTGTTTTTTTTTTTCAATCCTTCTTACTCCTATTAATTTGGAAACCGGACTTACACCAAAAAAAATTTGGAAACCGGACCTGTCTTAATATATATTAGTTATAAACCAGTCCGGTTATACCTGGTACAAGGCACAATATGATTTGTAATTTTGCAATTCTTCTGTTGTTATTGTTAATGTTTCCTCGTTCATTTTGTTCACAATTGACATAGCTTTCTTTCAACGCAATTTTACTATACGAAACGAAGATATCAAAAATCCAGCCTATGGTTTACTGTAATAATTTTACATTCCGCCATTATTCGTAAGTTACATGTGACTTGGATCGATACAAAATTAAAAAGCCCACTTCAACGTTCAGAGGAGACGTTGCCCGCTCGGACGGTAACTGGGGTGAACAACGGCTACAGGAGGAGGAGCCAGGGTGGAGCAGCGTCGGGTCCACACGAAGTGTTGAAGTAATCGTTGTACGTGTGCCCCCATTGTGTATTGAATTTTAAATTATACTAATATATATATTTTAAAAAAATCATACTATATTTCGAGTTGTTTTCTTAGTGTTCATGAATCATGCACCACAATGTGGACATTTTATATTAAATATACGTCAGCTCATATTATGGATTTTATTTTCAGATTATAGCCACCGGCCATATTGAACGTTTCCAACAACTCGACTTCGCATTAAAGGCCTACGTGCTATTTGATTTTTTTTCCTCTTGTTTTTTAAGTAACATATACTAGGGTTTTATTTAATTTATGCCATAAAATCATAAAACATATAATTTATAATTAAATATTTTTTCCTAGAACTTTACAACACTATTTTGCTGATTTCTTAGATATAATTAATATAATTGACTGTAATCTTGAGATTTATGGTTTTCAGTGAGAGCAAAATTCTAAACACATCAAAAGTCATGAGACTAACTGCAGAAAGGAAAATAAAACAATAAAAACAAAAATCCCAGATATGCCGAGTTTATATAGAGAGAATTTGTCAAATAACCAAATCTCAATGAAAATTAAGACTATAACAGCACTAATGAAAAACATTAGGTGGTATAGCACTAATTTTATCTTTTTTTTTTTCGGGTTGTGTCCTTTTTCTAAGCTGGTTGAAAGTAGAAAAATAAACAACAATTATAATATTTAACTAGATCTCGACCCGCACAACCGTGCGGGTATTTTAATACGAAAATATTTGAAATTACATAATACTCACTCCATTTTAAATAGATGATGTTTTATAAGATTTATTTTATTTCAAAATATAAGATGTTTTGAGATTTTAAGGTATATTTTGAGGTTATAAAGTTATCTTTAACTTTATTGGAAACTGTTCAACCGATAAAATTTTACTCTTTTTAATAATTTGTTGAATGACTATAAAATTATATCTTTAAAAATAATTTTGTAAAAGAATGTAAATTTCTTAATTTTTGTGCTATGATCCAAAACATCATATATTAAGTAATGGAGGGAGTAAAATTTATCAATAAATAAATATAATTTGATTGTATTTACTATCCAATTTTATAATAATATTTATGTAGCTTATAATATTATTAATTTAAAATTTATAAATTTTTATTTTTGTAACAATTTTTAAAAACATTATTATGTAACATTACTAATTTATATATTTTGTTTTATTTCTAAATTTTAAATATATAAAAAGTAAATTAAATTAGACCTACATAATACATAAACAAAATTTTGGGATATTCTTAAGAGTATATTTTTGTTAAAAATGAATTAAATAAATTATATTCTATGATAATTAAATTTTTAATCAAATAATTTTTGAAACTATATCTTGAAAAGATTTTATAAGATTTTTTAAAGATTTTGTTAGACTTTTCTTAAAATTATTTATTTGTATTTCAAATAAAAATTAAAGATATGAAAAGATATTATAATGATGTTATGTTATATAAAATTTCTAAGGATAGTCCAAACTTAAAAATCACACATGAAGTGAATCATGACTTCTCTTTTAATATAATAGATTTAACAAAAAACAACAAGGAAATAGCGGTTGTTGATACATAAGAGACGTGTTTTTTTTTTTGTAGCAGATGGGTTAGTGGCCTTGATGGTTGTAACTATGGTGGTGATGATTAAGGTGGTTACAGATGAAGTGATGGCCGTTGATACAAAGAGTACGATGGTTTTGGTAGCAGAGGTTATTCTGGCCTAGTGGATGTGGTGGTGGTGGTAACCACAATGAAAGAAATCAAAAATGTTATACAAAAAAGATATGTACAACAAATATAATAAAATAGAGAAAATAGTATTGTATGTATTAATAAAATAATCAGATAGAATGGTATATCAAAAATAGATTGTCTTCATTTGGTCAGCACTAAGCATGCTTCCAAGAATCATATGTATCTTATAAATAAAACATGAAATAACATTATAAAAACTTATGTAAACATAACTATTCCATCATACTAGAGTATATAAAATAGAATAAAATGGATTTACATATGATAAATAGTATAGTAAAAAAAAATAATAGTAAAAATGAATGAATAAACAGTTTGAGAGAATAACCGGCATTCACTAATCATTCGGCGTTGTTTGGTTTATTATTCGTTTTTTTAATGAACAAAGATACATTTTCCTAAATTATAGTAAAACAACTCGTTTATATTTCAATTTTTATAAGTGAATCAAACATAAGTGATATATTTATACAAACAATTTGAATTTTTTTATTTCTTAATATAATTTATTTCATGAATGACTAAAAATCAGAAAATAACAAAATGAAAACAATGACATATTATTTATATATGATAAATTATTTATCTTTAAATTCTAAATAATTATCCAATAGTTAACCAATAGTTATCAAGTAATTTGTAATACAAATAACAAGTAATAAAACAAGACAGTAACTTGCAAGTCCATCAATTTTTCGCAAGTAGTTCAAATGGAAAGTACTCGTTTTTAACAAACCAAATAAAAATCCAAAATTTGAATACTCGTATAAACCAAGCTGAATACTAAGTATACTGAAAATACCAAATACTCGACTTGTGCCCACCCCTAGTTGCTATCAGGTATCACTTAAATTTCTTTTTGGTGCCTTTCCTTCGGAGTTATCTGGAACTGAATATGCCACACATACAAGCATCACCATATCCAATGATAATAAAGGTCTCATATTAATGATTATGTTATCAATGGTTTAAAAAAAATTCTTATTAATGGTTTAAAATATTTGTTGTAAAATATATAAATGATCATAAAATCATATAAGTATGTAGCTTTATTTAATAGATATATAAATTAAAAATATACTAGATATATATATATATATATATATATATGTTAATATCATTTATTTTAGATTTATTTATATAAAATGATTGTAAATTAACAATTGTGACTTTTTTTTATTTTTGTGACCACACTAATTTAATTATATACATAATATTTACTAATTTTCATTAATTTGATATATATATATATATATATATATATTTATTTATTTTATAATATGAAAAATACAATATAAATAATAGTAGATAAAATAATTTGTGTATATAATTCTATCATTCGCAATGCGTGGATCTTAACCTAGTGATGTTGTATTTGGTAGGATGGTTATTTAGAATAGATTTTTTGCATAATGTGAATAAACCAATTTTAATATATTCATTCACGGACGAATCATTTTCTAACTTCTCGTGTATAATTTGAGAATATTTTTTAAACCATGAAAACTATTCCAACGCTATCATATCTAGACGAGTTTTTTTTTTTTTTTTGAACACATATCTAGACGAGTAAAAATTGTTTTATGGGCTGGTTATAATCAATGAAAACACGGCATACACTATGAAACAAAAATTATATATGTGCACACTAAGTCCATACTATCTCATAAAATCCAAATAATACAAAATATAAGTTATTGAATATACAACTTACCTAAGGTACGAAATTAACTGTCTGTTTTGGTACATACTCTCAGATATATCGATTCCCTAAACATGTTTAACAAAGAAAAAAACCAGAAAATGTAACAAAAAGTATAACTAGCTACATCAGAACCAAGATCGAAACTTTCGTATCCATATCTAATCCCACGAGCTCGAATTAAACTCAAAAGTCTATCAGGCTCCTTATATTGTTATCTGAACCAAAAATAAAAATAACAAAACTCAAACCAAATCCAAATTCAAAAAATAACTGAACAACTATTATATTTCTTGAATCAAAAACTAAAACTCACAACCGAACCAGAACTTAACCGAAATTAAAAAATACAATTTGAATGGAACCAAAGCTTAGAAAAATTATCAGATCATAAAACTATAAACATAAATAATAAATAATCCCGTGCAACTGAACGTGTCAGAATCTAGTTGGTTCTTCAATTTGCTTTTATAAATCAGCGATTAGTTAGAATTAGTTTTTAGTTTTAGTTGGCAAATAAAATATTTATGTTCTAACAAGATAAACGATTCTCTTTTCTCTAGATGCAATTAATGTTATAAAAAAAATTTAAGATGCTTAACAGTTCATTGTTCTTATTACAGGAGATTGAGGTATTTATAGCAGTGCATTATAGCGTTTATATATGTTGTGCTATGTTTAATGTTTTAATAGCGTTTCATTTTTTGTAAACACTACGAATAGGTTATTTTTTTAAAAGAATGGTGATGCAAAGAATACATAGCATTACGTATTTTAAAACGCTGTCGAAACTTGGAGCGGGAATAAAAAAAAGACCCGCTTAACACTTAGTGAAATTTTCACTCTCCCTCTCATCTCTCATATGAGCTACAGTTCGATTCAGTTTACCGATGAACATTTCCTAGTGTAAACGCAATCTCTCATATATCGTCCAAAATCCTCTAAAGAACCTAATCTTCCTGTCAGAGTACGAGATTTGGGGAAGCAAAGATGCTAACCGGGCAGGGTTAATTGGTCTTTTTAACACCATATGAACCACGCGTGTCTTTCACTTTCCTACGTTTTGGTACTTTGCAAATTTCGGCTTCTTCCTTGGTTTTTCGCCTAATTAGCTCTATTAATTACTACTATCTTTATTTATTTTTTTAACTAGATAAAAAAACCGTGTGATATCACATATAATTATATTTTTTTATTCACGATTTTAAAAATCTATATTTTTATAGGTTTCACTGTAATAAAATTACAAACATGTCAATACCAAATAAGCTTATATGTTTTATTATCCATTTAGTTAAGTTATTTCAAAAATCTTGAAA